AACCATAGAAAAAGTGTATAGAAAATTATGAACTACGATACAGGAGGACAGACAAGCACGGGGTTCGCATCGTAATACCCATTTAGGCATATATTCTCCAACGGATATGGTTACAACTTAAAATGAAGTGTGTTCATCCGGCGATCGCTTATTTTTCCGGCCTTTACAATGATGACATTATATTTATGTGTTTTTGAAGAGTGAAAGGGGAGATTTGAATTAGTCTCATACACTCACACAATAAGGGCATTTCTTAGTTATACATTTCCATACCGAAGGGGTATCTTTATATAAATCATTATTTTATATCGGAACAGTTCTCCACTACTCCAATAAAGACGCAGTTTCAATGTTAACAAATAGTTATGTAAAAATATGTATAGTTAAACAATATATTTCCCTGTTAAAAGTGTTTTTTATAACAAATAAAAAATCTATTTCAAAGGTACTTATGATCTATGCAATAATTTTAACAAATTTAATAAAACGAGAAATACTTTGTTAAGGACACTATTCGTAATTAATATATATGTGTTTTAAAGTATGTTATAGAAAAACACAGCCTACACAACTAATTTTATAAGTAAAACAGTGATACGATTCGTAAGATAAAGAATAAATAAAAATCGGTAAAAAGCTTTTAAGTTAAACGGTTTTATTTTTGTGCACTGTAAACTACAAAAAAATGACATAATCATCGTGTTTTACTTATACCCATATTGAGGCAGTTAAGGTTATATGTAATCCGCCATTTTGTATCGGCGGCCATCTTGGATTTATAATGTTTTATGATTATATTGTATTATCATATAAATTAAATGTGTGTACCAAATTGCAGATCAATCTGCAACGGGACGGTGTTTGAATTTCAATATCTAATTTTGACCCATTTAACTTTTTAACTTATTCTATCTTACAGTTAAGACAGCTAACTTAGCTACATAAATTATTCTGAAATAAAGTTACTTTAACAAAGCAAAGTGTACAATGCAACAACGCTAAACAACGTTATCTTAGCTTATTTTTAATCGCTTCCTACACGACATACTAAGAGGACATAATTTAATGGTAATATTACGAGGTTGTGTATATAAATAAAATACTTTAACCGTTTAAAACACGTATGTATATAGGTTAAACTTGTTTGAAAAATATTTTGACTACGGCCCGACGTTTCGGATGCTTTACAGCAGCCGTGGTCACGGGGTAACTATCTTCAAACAAGTTTAACTAGTGTATATCGCGTTTTAAACCGTTAAAGTGTTTTATTTAAAAGCGAGGTTTGCAAAAACGACTATGACACGCGAAGTCGCAGGTTCAGTTAGTAATCTTATATGGCTCACATCGTTCACAGCTTTAAAACTACTGAGTCGACACTTCAAGAGCAAAGTATAAACTTTTCTTAACGATAACAAGACAGTGTTATTCTTGTTATCACTACCTGAAATTTTGGGAAGGCCGCCCGATCGATATGGCTCATAGCTCTGTCCCTTTCGCACACGGGAACTCTCTTTTTATTTCCTGGTTTCAGGAGGCTTTTGCGACTGTCGTTTGTAATACATGCTTACGCACGATAAAATTATCTTCTTCATCATGATTACAATCTCTTCTCATCTGCGTAAAACACTTGTAGATAATTCTAGGAAATTTTGCATAAAAGATTGTTCAATGATGTTCATTTATTAAATTTCAATATGTTCTTAATTACACGCGTTGCTTTGCGAGAGGTTCGGTTTGAATCCCGGAAATGTAAATTGAATTCTATGTGGAGTTTTCTTCTATAGACACTTTTAAATAAAGCACTTTCAACAGTTTTAAACGCGAAATGTATTTTATTATGACAAGGAAGCGTCGGGCCATCGTATAATTTTGGAGTATGCTAAAAAGTCCAATTATGAATAATATTTATATTAGTAAAAATTTGTTTTATTTAATTAGTCCCTATATAATACAAAAGATTTTAATGTATATTTCAAATTTACCTATCAATCTATCATGTATAATCAAATAAGACAGAAATATGAAGCAGAAATATTTAATTACGTCTCTCAGGAATTCGAACCCAAGACATGTCGCGCTAAATGTAAGGTACGGTACTAAATGTACTATGTAAGATATATAGTAAGGTAAGAAAAATATATTTAAATAAAACACAAACTGTTAAAGTGTTTTGATTTGAGTGCAGCAGTCGAGATCACGAGGAGACCACGGCTGCTGCAAAGCATCCGAAACGTCGGGCCATAGTTAAAAATAATTTTCAAACAAGTTTAACTAGAACATATTGCGTTTTAAACCGTTAAAGTGCTTTATTTAAATGTGGACTACTCGCGTAAGCTACAGACGGTATTTAAGAAAAATATACGTCCTCACTTGTTTTTAAATCTCAAATTTTCTCTGTATTCTATCACGATTCTATAAAGATTCACAGAGTAAGGGGTACAGCAGTTCTTCTTAAAGGCTGCGGTGGTACACTAGGACGAATTTCGCATATTCCTTACTTAACAAACCAGTACAAAGCAATTATTTAAATGGAAACGAATGTTACCAATCGCCAGTAACTCCATTCGATTACATCCAGCGGTTTTTGAATGACACTCCATAAAATTGGATAATTTTATCACGCTTCGTTCCGAAATCGGCGTATCTGTTACATAGTCGGTTCATTGTATAGCTTAAAAATTTAACAAATGTGTTCCCCATACAGTGATGTGCCCCATACAGTGATGGGCGTTTAAAATCTACACTTATATATTCTATATAATTAAAGCTAAAGAGTTTGTTAGTTTGTTTGAACGCGCTAATCGCAGGATCTCGGCTTCGAATTTAAGGAAGGCTTTGCAAAAACAAAATGGTATACAAAGTCGAAATAACGATTCTGCGCGGACGAAGTCGCTGACACAGCTAGTTAATACAAATTTCGCAAAGATATTGCAAATTTGACTAACCTATTATTAAAATAAAACACTTTCAATTGTTTAAAACGCGAAATATATAATAAAAAACGAAACAAATGGCGCCGGCGTAGCGGATTATGACTTTGACATTAGGTGTACCCTCCATCTTCAGTCCACAACCGTGACTGCTGCAAAGAATCCGAAGCGTCGGGCTGAAGTTAAAATAAATTGTAAATGAGATTTAAATATAGGTGAAAATTGAGTATATTAATCTGAAAAATTTTCACAGTATACCTATATGTATGTTCAAGACACGTGTTTTGTTTAATGTCGTTTATTTTATATTTTCTACTAAATTCTTTTTTCGAATTGTTGTATAAGGTAGACTTTATTTGACCGAACAATTTTATTTAAGAAATAATTAATTATATCTAGATTTTTATTTAACTTCATAGAGAACTTATCGAATATTAAAAATTATTTTAACTGCGTTTGGAACCTAACTTAAAATCGGTTCTCCTCAAAAATTAAATCACCCAATAATCGCTTCCCCAAAGTTATAAGAGTCACTGTCATTATTCTTAATAACAAGCCGACTTTTGGGTGTGCCAACACTATATTTCTGCACGTCGTATTTCCAATTTGTTTAGCGAAAGTTACATTGTAAAGTAGTAGAAAGCGCGCGTCTGATTATGCAGTACTTGAATTGGTTAGAGGCACAAGTTCGCTGCTGATACCAGTTCAAGTCCCGCCCGTGTCATCATTCGCGTTTCAAACACCAACGGTTTAAAACGCGAAAATATTGATTAACTTATTTTTGTATTGTACTGTAGTCATTTCCATCTGTAGTTAAAATAAATAAAAAATGAGTTAACTAATATATTTCGCGTTTCAAAGCGTTAGATTTGTTTTATTTAAATTATTAGGTGTTCGTTTCAGTACGTACTCTATTTACCTACTGACCAAGTTGAGTTATAGTGTGATATTATGTGTTTTATATGTATACATTAGAGAGTACTGATATTGCTTGTTCATTTAATTAAATGAATACATTGTTTATTCCCGAAAGGGAGCTTTTTAACGTTGAAACCTGGCCCAATAACATTAATTTTATTTTATCTTTCGGACACTCGGAAATCCAGAATGAAAATTAAATGCGCGCGACATTTACACCTTTCCGTTTGAGAAAAAATCAACCCGACAGTTAGAGGAGCTGGCTAGATTGCTAACCTCACCTAACCCAACGATAAAATAATATTTTGTAATATAATAGATGTCACTCCTTTCCTATTTATTAGCTCTCAGAGAATTTTAATGCAGCCGATATATCTGAAAGCTAAAGATAAAAACTGATATACTTCGCGTTTTAAACCGTTAAAAGTTTTTTATTTGTAATAATAATTGTTTTTTAATTGTATATACGTTGATTTTATTTTTATGTAAGTTAGTATGTTTGTAGAGTTATTTTGCTCCTAGCATTCCTTATGTCAATTGCTATTGGCTTCAGCGCCATGACCAAAGTCGGCAGTTACTTAAATCGTTCATGCGGTTCGATATTAGGAATCGCATCTAATTTATTTCCGTCTACGAATCTAGGGCATTACGTGGATAGTATAAGTTGAAGGTCGTTAACATTTTATCAGTTCAAGTTGGCTCGGCACTGGGTTTCATTGTCGGCTGAGCCGGCTCGCCAGTGTCGGTGGCGGCGCATCCGCTGCACTCGCCTCGATGCCTCCACGCGGGACGCAACCTCGTCCTCTGCACCGCTGCAACTATGTAACTACTACTTATAATTTATCGCATTCGCCACCCGCATTCCTCAGTCGCGTCCGCCACCTCATCTTTCAGCCTTTCCGTAGCCGTAGTTTAGTTCTCCCTAAGGGATCGCTTTGCGCGCATTGCCGTTTCACGTCAACAGATTCCTAGAATTACAATTAAAAGTAGATTTCGCGCCAAATCCATCCGGCCCATCGAATCGATCTATTGCGATCGAAGCTCTATACAGTTAATATAAGAGCGAAGAGTTGCCCAACGTTGGACCGCTGCGAATTCGTACGTTGGGCCGCAGAGATACAGCGCGCCGTGTGGCCCGAGCCGGGCGCAGCGCTAAGTTGGCAGCACTGCGTGCGGCAAAGGTAGAGGGCGGCGCGCGAAACCTGTGCGAAGAGGTGGAGTGGGGGGTCGCAACGTACCGCGGTGCAGTGGTTGGCACGCGGTGTCGATACGCGGGCGGGAGGAGCGGCGCGGGACGCAAGCGCGGCCGCCGACCGTCGACCGCTCCAGTCCGCCGTCGACGGGCGAACGTAGCGCTCCTCCGCCGGAACAGCTAAACACGCGGCTCGTCCCGCCGACCATGAGTCGCTGCATTCGGTGAGGCGCCACCGCGAGCGCCCCGTTACGTAACGCGAGCCGCGCGCCCACGTCCTTTGCGAGCCCGCGAGAGACGACAGCCGCCGCTAGGCGTGGGCCCGACGGTGCGATGCGCCCGCCGCGTCGCGGCTGAGCCGAGCATGCGAAGCGGCCGGCGGCGAGCGGGCGTCGCGGCAGCGCAGAGCGTCGCCATGGCGCAAGAGTGAGGAGGCAGCGGCCGCGGGGCTGGCCGCTTCCCGCACGATCGCACGCGCTCCGAACCGATGACACATTGCCATTGAACAGCCACCATTGCTCGCATAGAGTTGGTCGAGAAATGGGGGCTGACGCCTGTCCTCAGGCCGAGGCAGGAATGCCCCCGGGCCCAGGAACCAGAAGAGGAAGAGAGGTAGGTCTGTAGGGACGCCCGCGTCGCGGCCGCGGTGCCACACGTCGCCCGAAGTGCGTTCACGGCTCACGTAGATGGTCGTTTTGCATGTTTATCGAGATAATAATGGAATATTTCGACATGTGTTGGTGAGTGCGCAGTGCGAGGCCGCTAGCATACACTAACCGCTTGTCTCACGCTTCAGCGCGGTGAGTGTCTTAAATCTTCGTTCTGACCTACATTCTGATGTTTCAGCTTTACATAATAACATGTGCGGCAAGGACTGCGGCGCTGGCGGCGCATCGCCACGCCGAGGATTCTCGTGTCGCAGTCTAATTAATCTTAGCACGACGATTCTCTCCCGCACTAATCGACGCGCTTACCTGGCTAATACACTTTCGAATCGGCGGAAACGGTCCAAGACGAAGACGAGATTACGCCTCTCGATCTGGATCGATAGAGTCGTCACAAAAACACGACCCGTGACTCACGGCACGTTTAGTGCCGACTCGTAATACATAAATAATAATTCGGCGGAAATAGTTTTGAATGTGTAACTCTGTAAACAAAACGGCATCACGCCAAATTCTTAGTGCTGAAATTACTTTTTGAATTTACGTTTGCCGATAAACGATCGGATCCACCTAATTTTAACGTAAGAATGCGTTCGAGCGTACGATTCGGAGATAAAAATCACTAACTATTCGTATACAATGGTTTACAGCTTTTTTCAGCAATTCTGGCATCCATCACATTATTGAATTTTTCTTTTATGTGTTTGTAATACGGCATTTTTATTGGTTCATTTGCTAATGGGCCCTCTTAAATTTTGTTGGATCGTTATCACCTATTTCGTTTGTCGTAAAATACACTCGACCTTAATCATTTTGGTGGATTACCGGGAGATATAGCACGTTCACGCTTGGATAATTCAATGATCTCGAATTGAGTCTACTATTTATGCATCCGAACACTACATCAACGTCAGCAGCCATTGTTTATAGTGATCCTTATGCTCGATGGTACGTGACAAATAATTATTGGGTCAAGTTGCTTGTGTACTTAAGCTCTCACTAGAGCTATCTCGACGAAATAATCTTTCTGTATAACACTGTAATTCTGCTGTGTGTACCAATGTTAAAAAGGGTTTCCTAAACATTCCATTTACAGAATTACTACCTTATAGATAGTTATATATTTAGTCATAAAACTTGACTCGATTTTAGTTTGCTCAATTGTTTAGCTTTGAATGTCTGTTCAAGTCCCGCCTGTGCCATCAATGTATTTTTTCAATCTGAAGCGATTTTTAATGTACACACTGCCATAATGGCAATGTACAATAACATGTGAAAAACTATCAAAGTTTTCAACCGTCTCGTTCGAGATCAAAGCTTTATGATAAAAGCTATCTCTCTCTACTACTTTGCAATATTGATTATCAAAACGGATATTGAAGAGACGTACCTCGAGACTCGGGATTCGACTTTATAATTACACTAGATGTGCCTACGATTTAATGTGTCCACATATGAATTACTTATTTTTGGACATAAAAATAATTTTTGCAAACCTTCTCACCTGCACAAATTTTGACTGTTACCCACGACGTCGACCGCGTCCCGTTTTTTCAAATTAATCTTAAAACATAGACATTTGCACAAACATGTTTTTATTTTGTATATATAATTCTAAGTATATTCTTATGTCTATGTTTGTGCAATAAAGAGTTTTTATTATTATTATTATTTACTGTCCCGGATATATTCTTAGAAAAGTAATCATGCATATCTTTTATCTTTAACCGTTTTCCCAGCGTATGCAACGGAAACCCACAAGGATGAATAATTTTTCCACATTTCCCGTTGCTTCTTCGCTCCTGTAAGTCGCGTCGCGATGTTTTATAGCCTACCTCGATAAATGTTCTAACTAACACTAAAATAATTATTCAATTCAAACCCGGTAGTTCCTGAGGTTAGCGCGTTCAAACACACAAACAAACAAACTCTTCAGCTTTATATATTAGTATAGATATAGAATGAAAAAGACCAAGTGGTCATACTTTGACGTCACCGCGAGTTAAACAATCTCGGTTTAGCTGCATTTCACGTCATATTAGATTATGTTCACGAAAGGGAATTTATATGATCCTTTGTGTGGGTGGGAACATATCATACGAATCATTTATCATAATAATTTATTTAATATTATGAATGCGATGGTTGCGTGGCTCGTAACTATGAAGATTAAAGAAGAGTACACATTTAAATAAAACACTTTAACGGTTTAAACCGTGATATATATTAGTTAAACTTGTCTGAAAATTTTAATTTTAGCCGAGGAGTTGAAATCTCTTACTTAATATAGAGCGATTAATTTTATCTACTTAATGTAAGTAAAGAAAATTATAAAATTTTACAACACATAGTGAAGATTTTCATGTAAGCGTGACTTATGTATTTTGAACAAATTCAAAGAATTGATCACTCATACAAAACGAATTGTAGTAAGAAACATTGATTATAAAAAAATACTTCAGTCATGGTTTCACAAAAAGTAGCTTAAAACTTCAATCTCGACAAGTTTCTCTTTTTCGTAGTCCGAAGGATAAATATTTAATTCCGAATTCAAAATTTTCTGATGAATAAAATAACATAATGTTTTTTTTTTATCTCTATAATACCCGTATAAGACTATAGGTTCCGTTAGGATCAATAACCTAAAACGCTTTGAGAAGTCACAAACATTCCTTGTTTCCACTATTTGCTCTATTGAAGTCAGAAGTACGTACAAATCCAAACACAGACAATAGAATACTTTTATTCTCGTCCGCAAATATATCACTCCGGGCGTTCTCCGGAGATTTGAAAGGGTTCGTGAGATGGGATAGTTAGAGTTCACCTCGTTACGAGGACGAAGAGCCTCCCCTTTGAAAAATGCGGGTAGTCTTGAAATGTTATTGGATGAGGAAAGGATTTATGTGTGTGTCATGTAAATTGTAGCATTGTTTATGATTACCGCATAAATATAGATTATGCTAACTGTAAATAACTGTTTATCTCTAAATAAAGCTGTTACCCACGACGTCGTTCGCGTCCAGTCGTTTTTGCAAGTTAACCTTAAAAGATAAATAGATATATATTATATTTTTTCACATCATTTAAAGAGAAATCTTTCTTTGATACGCTGTTGTTAAGTTTCTTGAACCGTTTTTGCAACGCACGCAACAGACGCCGTCAAGGATGAATAATTTTCCCCGTTTTTCTTTCCACATTCCCCAGTAGGTATATCTGCCCTGCCTCAATAAATGCTCTAACCAATACAAAAATATTTTTTCAATTCAAACGATCCGTTCTTGAGATTACCGCCATCAAACCAACAAACACCTAAAATATTAGTACAGATAATCATTCACATTTAAACAACGTTGGAGCTTAAAACAGCATAAAAACAGAAACAATTTGCGTTAGCGCGATGTCATGACTTGAAAATTTTGTCCATTACAAGACCTACATACATAAGTACTTGATCTCAATTCGATTTAAAACTTGGCGCAAGTACAGGGCCTAACTGCTAGTACAAAGCTGTACTGTAAACGCCAAATACCCACTTGAACCAGGAACGAGTCTCTCGTAATAACCTTTCTTTCGACGACATTATGTATTTTTATCATTATTAATTATCTGTGATCCTTAATTGTTTTTCGTTCTTTCTTTCAATGAGTTCTAGCATTTTACCATCGAATTCAGGTGGTGGACAATACACGTCCTATTTACTACCATATTAAATGCTGTATTGATAGATAAGCAAACATTTAAAATCTACTATAGATTTATTTAAAAAAAATACGACACGGACAGGAGTTACACCGGCATCCAAAGATATTTATCTAACCAATTGTGTTTGCCGATTCAAGTGCTGGCCGTGAAAAAAAATTACAGCACGATAACGACTTGAACCGGCATCCACCGGTTCCGTGCTGGCTCTAACCAACATGTCAAAAAAATATTAAAGTTTTCATAAGAGCATATTTTAAACTAAGCAGCACGGCTTCATAGAATTATACAATATAGAATATGCGTCTCTTTGAAAATTTCCAGCGTATCCTTAATGCGGAAGCTCCTAGTTCAAATTTAAAAGACCTTTGATGCCAGACTTCCTTCGTAACGAGAGATATTGTACCGAATAAGAACCTCGGCTCCTTTCTGGATGTATTCACATTGAGAGTAAAATCTTTTATCAGCGAATCAAAGAGCGCTTCCGTGCTCCCCATTATGGTGTCGTCTTTTCCGATACAGAGAATATTCTGGAAGCTATAAGTGCGGAAAAGGAATAAGAATATTGATTTATGTACTCTTAAAAAAGTACCTGCTTGAATTAATGTGCATTGGTATTCAAATCAAATTTCTGGATGAATATAATCGTAAATTCAAATCGATTATATAATAATAAAAATAAATCTCTTTATTTGGCATTCGTTAGTAGGAATAAATGTTATTATAATTAAAAATAATAATATGACAAGATTTAATTTAATTCGACTAAAAGTAATGCCACAAGGGTCTTGCGTCAGCATAAGTTGCAGCACGGTTATGCTACAAGACTGATTTTCAGCAAAACCCTACTGTTCGTCAGTTAGACAGCGCTCATACAACCATTTGATATTTTAAATAACAGTGACTTTAGCGGGAAATATTATTAAGTAATAAATTAGTAAATTTTGTAATTATTTGCGTCAAAAGGAAGGTTAATTTTTTTAAATTATAAATTTAAAAAAATACTACTCGAGCAGGACGTGAACTGGCGTTCACAGCCTTCCGTACAGTTTTGTGGATGCCGATGCAACTGCTGCGGGAGGCGTAAAAAAAAATAATTTATAATCGACTCTTAATTTATCCAGTGCCATCATATGTGAAAAATATTGAAATTTTTCAAACATACTCGTGGTAAATCACAAGAGGTGCTGGGTCCGAATCGGTCAGACGTATATATGATGCTGAGTCAGCGACCGTCCGCGTAGCATGGTAATTTCAGCTCTAAATCTAACCCACGACGCCGTCCGCGTCCGTCATTCTTCGAAGTTAACATTAAAAGATAGACATATACTTTCCTTTTTTTACATCATTTAAAGAGGAATCATTCTTTGATACATAGTTATTGGGTATCTTGAACCGCGTACGCGTCGGAAACTCACAAAGATGAAAATGTTTTCCTCTTTTTTTCACATTTCCCGTTGTTTCTTTGCTCCTATAAGTAGCGTTGCGATTGTTCTTTTGTGTTGCTCTAACCAACACAAAAAGAATTTTTCGATTCCCACCATTAGCGCGTTCAAACATACAAACAAACAAACTCTTCAGCTTTATATGAGTATAGATGTGATCAGCTACTTTCTGTGAACAAAATTGACCAAAGAAGCGGACGCAGAAATGTCAGAATCCATTCCAATCACAGAATCTACGTACAGCGGTTTACCCGTTGTTTTAATTAATCCGTCAGCCGCAAATGAATTTTAAATATTATGTTAAATTGTTTTTAAAATGTAACTGACATGTCCAAATAACACACGAGTTATTTCACTGTAAATTAATAAACATTTAAAATGAGCTGCGTATTTGATGCAGCGAATGTTTCCGCGTGATCAATTCCGTTTTATTTTTTTTCCGATCTTCCGGTGATGCAAATTGAACGGAAGCTGTCAAATTGATATAACGTAACGCTTTTTAGAAAATCCGGAAAAAGTATTTTTAAACTGAGTCAAAACGTTTTATTACTAATTTTAACTAAGTAAAAGTTTAAAGCAGCTATAATAAAACTCTTTTAACGGTGTAAAACGTGCCATACTACATAATTGAATTATTTGGAAATTAATTTATTACGGCCCGACATTTCAGATGCAGCAACCGTAGTCATACTATTGTCACTACAGACGTACTATGTCTGTAGTGACAATATTACGCAATACGCAAATAGCACACATTTAAATAAAACACTTTAACAGTTTAAAACGCGATGTATATTAAATCTTATTTGGAAATTATTATATCCACAGCGTTTCTGATGCCTTGCAGAAGTCGTGATCACGGGAAGACTAAAGATGGATGGTGTCTCTAATGTCAAAAATTAATACTAATACATCGCGTTATAAACCTTTAAAGTGTTTTATTTAAATATTTACTGTCTTTAATATTACACAAGTATGGATTCTCGGTGATAAATATTTATACACGGATTGTCTTTCATTCATAATAGTTCACTATTAAAGGATTTTTAAGCAATAGGTAGTAGGCCTATTAAAGGCATTTAGAAAATAAATTGGATCAAGTTAAGCGAAGCGAATAATCCTCGGCGAAACCACTGAAGCGATTATGTATATTAAATTCGAGCGTGAAAATTGAGGAAGCATTTTCTAAAGGACAAAGCGTTCCGATATAAAACACGCATTCGAAACGGAAAATATCCAAGATATAATCTTTTTAATTGAAAACGAATTGTATTTCACTAATCTACATTATTATTTTGCTCTTTTCATGTCTTTTTCTGTGACTACCCGCAATATATGTTTTTCGATGTCCTGATTTTCAAACTAAAGCGTTCGTTCGTGTAAAATTTGGACGGACAGTAGTTAAACTAAGTCTTGAACTTTTAAAATATTTTACATGATGGCACTATGTAATTTAAACACCGAAAATAAATTGGAAAATTTTCGACTCGGCAAGAGCAACACGGAACGCTGACGGTGCCGGTTCAAGTCCTGCCCGAGTCGAAACTTTTTCGATTTTTAAATGATATAGCTTTTTTACACTACTTTGTCTTTTGCCGCGTAGTATAAGTTCTTTCTGTATGAATTGAAATCATATTGTTTTATTATAATTAATGTTATAATACTTAAATGAATTACTTCAAACGGATTGAAACTGGAAATATACGGTCCACAGGATCTACGGCTAATCATCCGAATTCCAAAACGTCACTAATATTTTTTAAACAGAAGTACGCATTATTATTTATTTGAATAGTAATAGTCAGCGTGTCATAAGTTCGTTTCCCATTGAGTCAAACATATTTTCACTCTATTTATAATTAAGAAATGCAATTTCAAAATTCTGCTACGAGGCATCCACAGATGAAAAAGTCCTGAAGTTTAATCGCGTTCTGGTGTGTGTATATCCAAAGTCAAAATAGGCCGACAGCGCATCTGTTTAGCTGTTATGAGTTATTTCACCTACCATTAAGTAAACCCTTTTCTGTCCTCTACTATCATAAAAATAAAGTTATATATATAAGTTAGTACCTGTAAAATCTCATATACAACATTCGAACGGTTGTCACTCTGAGGCGGCGATGAAGTAATGACAGCGAAAACCATTTTATGCCGGGTACTCACTAGCGATCCGTTACTGTAACGTACTCTTGGCTTGTACTTACAAATTGCAACGTTGAAGGCACCTATTTCAAAATATTTAATTATCCTGATTGTGCACAGGGGACTGTGACCGCTGCTGCAAAGCATCAGAAACGTCAGAGCTAATAGCGCGTTTGAGACCGTTAAAAGTGTTCTATTAAAATTTGTACTAGTCGCGTAAACTACAGACTAGAGACATTTATAGTCGTCCTTATTACAGTTGTGGTCCTTCGTTTGAGGAACTGGTCTAATTTCTCGTGTGTTCGCTTCTAATTCTACCTTTTTCTAGGTATTCGGAATCATCGTCAAATAATGCTAATGGAACTAACTTTTTATCATGTATCTATACTGATATTATAAAGCTGAAAAGTTTGTTTATAAAGCGCTAATATCAGAAACTACTGTTTCGTTTGAGTTCGTCTAGCACACAAGCAGTTTTAGCATGAATGCTATTTCAGTTTATCACGAGCAGAGGCCTACGTCACCGTTCTCATATCTAATGGGAGCTGCTTAATATTTCATACTAAATGACTGCTTTTCGATTTCCTAATGCCTACTAACTCAATTATCGATGCATAGCGGATTGCATGGGCTTTGAGTCGGACTTCTTAAACATGCAGTAAGTAGTTTGACATTGAGTGGACTTTCTGTTTTTACACTAGTTAAAGTTCAATATCAGTCAAGCAGTGTGAGCAATGCCACTCGAACCTGTTTTTAATTAAAACACTTTAACGATTTAAACGCGATATATATTAGTTAAACTTATTTAAGAATTATTTTAACTACGGCCCGACGTTTCGGCAGCAGCAGCCGTGGTCACGGTGAGACTAAAAATGGAGGGTTTCTTTGACGTCAAACTTTAACTAATATATTTATTGCGTTTTAAACCGTTATAGTGTTTAAATGTTTAGGTACTACTCCCGTAACAACAGTAACACCTGTTTCCTAGAATATGAAGGTTTTAAGATACATTTTTGGTCAAGCGTGAGTTGATGCATAATATTTTTTTTGTTTCTGTTGTATGAATAACTCTTCGTCAATAGCATGTACATTCTTCGTTATTAGCATGTACATTCTTCGTTATTTTTTAAATTGTTATTTTAGTTTTTATTTTATCTATCGCTGCAGATGTTATGCAGCAGCCGTGGTCACGGTGGGACTGCTGCAAAGTGCAGTTAGAATATATTTCACGTTTTAAATTGTTAAAAGTGTTTAACACAAACAATGTTAAAAAGAAAAGTTTTACACAATTTACACCATAATATTTTTACTGGTTTCACTGAATTAATTTATAAAATATAAGCTAGTGAAATTCTTTGTATTATTATCAGACTCTCTGCTTTGCCCGACCGAAAAAATAGCCGAAAAAATACTATTGAAATGATTGTAATACAGCAATCTTTTTCTCAACTCCATCTCATCCCATCCCGTATTTCCTAAGTTGCGCTTTCTTCCGGCCGTACTTGGAGTCAACTTTGTTTTAACCAAGTAAATACAGTGGCGGTTTCTTTTGTATCTTTGTGGCATTGTCTTTTAGCGGTTGCGAATGGACTTAAAGGAAACATCGGTTTGAACAACTCTTACTGAACGATCGTCGGCTCTGTATTGTGAAACTTGTGTTATATTTTTCTTTCATCGGCTCACGATTTACTTTTCAACAAACAATGGAATATTGTACGAAAAGTTTTTTTAATTCTTTCAAGACGCTTTTTTTAAATATTTTTCCTTTTTTATTCAAATTTTTAAAAACACGTCTGAAAGACCTTGATTAGATTGGAGTAAAGTCTCTTTATGACATTCTCATCATAGCTTTATCTGTGTCTAGTATAAATTATTTAAATAAAACAGTTAACGGTTCAAAACGTGAAATATATAAGTAAACCCTTTATAAAATTATAACTACGGCCCGACATTTCGCATGTTTTATTTGTCAAAGGTGCTACGCTACACTTAACTGCGACTAATCAGATGATTTAAATCTGTAATATTCTCGTAAACTGCAGACAGTTAAATAAAACACTTTAACGGCAACGTGGTCACGGGGAGTCTCACCGTGACCACGGCTGCTGCGAAGCATCCGAAACGTTGGGCCGAAGTTAAAAATCATTTTGAAATAAGTTTAACTAATATATCGCGTTTTGAACCGTTAAAGTATTTTATTTAAATGTGTAGTACTCGCGTAAACTATAGACATTATATGGCTAGCTGTTCCCGCGTGTACATCCGCGTAGAAAAGTTGTTTTGGGCATTAATTTTTTTTTATCACCTTTACAGATTATAGCTGTTACCCACGACGTCCTCGAAGAGCAATCATTCTTTATTACATATTGTTTTGGTATCTTGCGTCTTGAAGTCACCTAGCGCACGCAATGGAAACACTAAAAAAAATAATCTGTTTCGTTGTTTCACATTGGTCACTGTCTCCCTCCTATTTATTGCAGCATGATGTTTTATAGCCTGAATCCTTCCTCGATAAACGCTCTAACCAACGCAAAGATTTTTTCAACCCGAACCAGTACTTCTTGAGATTAGCGCGTTCAAACAAACAAATACACTCGTCAGCTTTATGACATTAGTATAGATTATGCACTTACCATAACTAACACATAATAAATAATGAACAAACAACATAATACTACGGGAATTATCACTTTCACGTAAACTGCAGACAATATGCGTATCTTATTGACGTCCAGATAGTAAACATCGTTCTCTCCAGATTGGTCCAGAGTGACAGTTAACGAAACAAGTATCGACAGTGCAGTTCATCCGGTAACACAGAACAGTCGGACACAGACAGTTTTGTAAACATGTTATTCGTGTTGATTCCTAACTATCTGAGGGTAATTTCTGTATCTGAACATTGTAATCTATAGTAATATATAAATCTGGAGAGATTGTTTGTTTGTTTGCATGCGGTAATCTCAGGAAGTACGGGATCGAATTCGAGGAAAAATTATTTATGTGATGGTTAGAGCCTTTATCAAGGAAGGCTATTGGCTATACAACATTGCCCTGTGACTAGACTGTAGCCTCAACGACGGGAAGGGACGCGTCCGACGTGGTGGGTAACAGTTTAAGTTTATAAAGCTTTGGATGCCTAAAATAACGATTCTCGCGGACGAAGTCGCTGACAGAGCTAGTAATTGTAATAAAGGCTTTAAATTATCGTTAGGGTCTCATCTCTGAAGACCAGTACTGCAAACCTCAGCTTTGAAGTTTACGCTTGGAGCGACTCTAAAGAAACCCATTAGAAATATAAATTATATATCTTGTTGAAGATTTTCTATCTCGTCTCTTCTTTTCTCTTTTTTGTAAAGATCATCGTATCATTTTATTCATACAGATAGAGACAAATTGATTTATTACAATAATTATAATTTATTTATTTGCTGTTTAAAAAGTATAATTCTAACTGATCTAAGCCATTTTGAATACATACAATACAAATACTTCTAATATTATTAAACGCGAATGTTTGTAAGGATGTTGATATTTTTTTTACTCTGGGACGACTTATATATAGCAAATAAAAAGAAGTGGTTTATTTTTATATAAGTCTATTATTTTTAATAAAAATATAAACAGACAAGCAATATTTAGATAAAACACAATAGTGGTTTAAAACACAATATATATTAGTTATAATAAAAAAAATATTAACTACGGCCGACGAATCAGATGGTGCTAGAGTAGGAGTTTTTACTTTGACGTCAGAGACACCCTCCATCTTTCCATCCATCCCGTGACCACGGCTGCTGCAAAGCATCCGAAACGTCGGGCCGTAGTTAAAAGTCATTTTCAAACAAGTCCAAATAATTCATCACTTTTTAAAACGTTAAAGTGTTTTAAATGTGTACTACTCGCGTAAACTACAGACAGTATACAGACAAACAAATCAAATTAAAACAAGCTTTTCTCATATTGCTGATACTAAGTGTAGTTACTAAATACATTGCGCGATAAGCATTATTCGCATCCGACTATACAATTATGTCGATCATCTGCTTGCTAATTGCATAGGCCCTTTAAGCCCTTGTCACATGCAGGATTTAGCATCTGACAGTACCAGATTATGGCATAACATATGCAATTTGCATCTCATATACTGACAATGCAATTATGCTAACTTCGAGTCATGCAAGGGCATAAAGAAGCCTACATGTGACGGCGCCATTTAGAGAGAAATAAATTTATTGACTACTATAAGGCACACAAGAACATATATAGATATATAGATCAAACTCTTCAGCTTTATATATTAGTATAGACTAATATATAAAGCTGAAGAGTTTGTTTGTTTGTTTGTTTGAACGCACTAATCTCAGGAACTTATAGCTCAACTTAAAAATAAATCATAATTTAATATTAACAGAATAAAATAATGTTGTGGCTCGGCTTACATCAGGCCCTATGTTGACCTGAAACTGATTTTCAGTGTGGACAGCGGTGCCACTGCCAAGGGAAAATAAAAAAAAATCGTGTTTGTATAAACTAGCAATCCAATTCTAATCTTTATGTGATAGCTTAAAACTCTTTTAACGGTTTAAAACGCAAAATTGGTAAACTGATCTATAGTTTATCTCAATCAGTAAACACCTAAATTTGAATACAGACGACAACATATCTAAAACTCAGGATCATCTAGATTTAGATCCCTAGAAGTGTGAGGGAACCGTGAGTCAGTTCTGTAAGGACCCAGCTGGTATCTTCGAACACCAATTAACAAGCACCAAGAACAGCGTAGCAGTCTTTGACCTTTCAGTACCCCCGTGACCACGGTTGCTGCAAAGCATCCGAAACGTCCGTAGTTATAAATTGTTAATAAGTTAACTAATATATTTCCCGTTTGGAACCGTTGAATGTTTTATCTGAAATTGAAACGTCGTTTTTCCTATGGGAGACAAGAGACTCATATATCTTTCTCAAATTTTTTGACCCATTTTATTAACATTCAAATATAAATAAAACACTTTAACGGTTTAAAATGCGGTATATAAATGAAAGCTGCAAAGCATCCGAAACGTCGGGCCGAAGTTAAAAATCATTTTCAAATAAGTTTAACTAATATATCGCGTTTTAAACCGTTAATGTGTTTTATTTAAATGTGTACTACTCGCGTTAACTATAGACAGTATTAAACATTAAAATAGTTTAGAACCAATAATAGTGTATCTTTGCCCTAACAATTGAAATATGCGTGTTGATAGAAAGTTTCCAACATATTTGTGCTCTTGCGCAACTTATGTAATTACTACTGAGGATTTATATGAGCGCCCGTGGAATTTATAACGATATAGTTTCCTTTGTGCTTTTACAGTATATTTGCAGTTACGGGAATATTTACTCGTAGCTTGTCGTATTAAATAACTTGTGTAGAGAATGCGCTTTATGAGAATCGGAAGATTACAAAGGGATCTGTTAATATTGCATATCTATACATATATATATAAATGTGTACTTTACCGTGATATTAAAATTCAGACATTACATAGACTATTTTTTTTAATAGTCACTGAGGAAGACATAGAGGAGAATAGATTTAAATAAAACACCTTAACGGTTTATAATGCGAAATACATCAGTCATACTTGTTTGATCGCGGGATTGAGTCACGGGGAGACACGGCTGTAGCATCTGAGATGTCGAGTTAAAATAAGTTGAACTAATTAATTACGCGTTTTATACCGTTAAAGTGTTTTATTTAAATGTGTACTACTGGCATAAAGTACAGACAGAAAAATACGTGTTCTGTAAATAATATGTTATAGATATAGTTAAACTTATTTTAACTACGGCTTGACGTTTCGTATGCTTTACAGCAGCCGTGGCCACTGGGAGATTTACGATGACCATGACGTCAAATAAAAAAATAGTTTTTAATTTATATTTCTTCTTTCAACAGGTCGCTGCCAAAACTATACAATCAAGAAGAAGAACAAGGGAAACCGCCTCAAGGCGGTGTCGTCACCTTTGAGCCGATACAACATGATCACGACTTTTGCGAGAGGGTCGTGATCAATGTAAGTATTTTTATACAATACTAGCTAGTACTAATACTAGATACTGATGCTAGTACATAGTAACTGTTTGCCATATAAATTAAATATAGGCAAGTTCTTGAGCATTGAACATTATGAACGATGATAACATTTATTTAACGAACATCAAACACCCGTTTTATTAAATTGTGAAAGGCTTTCACGGCCATCGTTCAGCATATCATTGTTTTTCTGGCTGTCCCCTTCTTCTATCCTGTTGATGCCGTCCGCTCGAGATGGCGAAAACGTCGAGACCCCCTATTTCGGGAGGTTGGAGTATATATACACATAGAGATTTATATTAGAAAACATTTAACTATTCTGCCACGATTTATTTTTGATTAGCGCAAGCTATATCTGTCACATAACTATTTTTTACATTTCGAATCGTACACCGATAATTTAAATTGCGTTAAGTGTTACTGGTTCGAAGCCCAGACAAAAATTTGCCACATTTCAACAGTTAATACTAACTTTCTCTATTTTATATATTATTGCCTTATTTATTCAATTAATTATTCATTACATTACAAAGTAAGTTACATTGAATACGTAATACTTTTATGTTACTGTATATTATACAACTACAGTATTATGTTGCATGCCATTTAATACCTGATTACTTGCATCGGTCTCGCCTTGGACGTGGGTATCATATTTCGACAAATATAAATAGTATTGATATTTCTCTAAATTATAGACATTTCGCTTAAAATTAAAATTTCGTAGCATTGTAGCTTTTTAGCACCTCGTAGCGATACCCCGTAGCACCGTAGAGGGTCACGGAAGGAATTTCGGAAATTGAAAAATATTTAAATCTTTTTCTTCATTTTTGCATCGGTACAAAATGGCTCCTTAGTATAAAATTATCTATGTGTGGCTAATAATCTACGGGTCGTGGGTTCGTTTCCCACCGGGGCCAACATGTTTATTATTAAATTATAACTTTTCTTAAACATAAATTAATTTGTGTTGAATTTTTTAGGGTAAAAATGGGAAAGATATGTCTGAAAATTTAGTAAATAAACCTATATTTCTCATTATTTTTAAGAACCTATCGACGCTTCCTATGAAATTGCGATTTCGTCTGAGTTACCCACCGACCTCTCATAAAAAAGCTGTGAAGTTTAATCGCGTTTCGGTCCGGTCTTTTCATTTCAGAGTATCCAATGCTATCATACGTTAACATCGCATCTTGTCGAGATTTAAAATGGCTGGGGTAATTCACCTTCCTTCACATGCTCGCTTTGTCTTGCTCTATGACAAAAAGAAACAAAGAATACACACTTATAGTTGCGAAGCAATAAATAACCTGTTAGCGTATTTATTTACTATATATATGCTATACTATATATACTTTACACTATATTTATTTTCTATATGTAAGCTGCCCCCAGTATTTATTTTTACGTACATATTTTTTGGGTGTCTTGAACCATTTTCGCAGCATACGCATCTGAGACCCACAGAGATGAACATTTTCCCCCGTTTTGTTCACATCTCCCGCTGTATCTTCGCTTCTATTAGTCACAGTGCAATTAAATCCTATAGTCTTTCTAGATAAATGCTCTAACCAATAAGAATAATTCATTTCTAACCAGTACTTCCTGAGATTAGCGCGTTCTGACAAACTCTTCAACTTTTTATATAAAAATAGATATTCATTTATATACTAAAGTTACGAGAACAATAATAATTAGTTGCCCAAATTAGCACTTGTTGTTGAATAAATACTTTCACCACTTAAACGCAAACAATATTAAAATGTTCCGGTCAGTTGTTTCCCAGGTTATTTGCGCTCATAGTAATTTTGCATTACAATGCTGAATTGAGCCATTTTCAAATGGCTTGCGAAATACTATTTTGACTCGCTGCGTGTAATTAGCTCTCTTTCTTTTCACTCTTTTACTAGTCAGTGTAACGTATTCTCAAACACTTCATTGTAATTTTTAAAGATTCAAGAGATTTTTCAAAGGAATTTGGCGATACTCAATATTTCTATAATGTGTCTAAGGATATATGTATACAGGTTAGATATATTTAGACGTTCTTTTGTTACTGACAGGCAACCTTACGCTTTCAAAATTAACTGCGTCGCAGTTGATATAATGTTTATACTAGCTGTGTCCGCGAATTCGTCCGCATAATATTTTGGGATAGCTAAATTTGTTTTTGTCTTTATAAATCTAATAATCCTTATATATTTAACCTGTTACTCACGACATCAATCGCGTACCGTCAAGCGTTGCGTAGCGTCTCGGACAATTTTTTAGATCATTTAAAGAGGAATAATTCTTTTATACATATTTTTAAATGTCTTAAACCGTTTTCGCAGCGTACGCATCGGCGACACACAGAGATGAATAATTTTCCCCACTTTTCCACATTACCCGCTATGTCTTCGCTCCTATTAGTCACAGCGTACACAACCTTTCTTGATAAACGGTCTCACTAAAACAAAAATATTTTATTTAATTATAACCAGTAGTTCCTGAGATTAGCGCATTCAATTAAAATCTTTATATATATTAGTAAAGATGTGTTTTCAGTAACATGGTTTTAGACATTTATTAAAGAATGTACACATTCACTTATTACTAAGTTAACTAAATATTACATTGAAATTGAAACTTGGATTATTCTTATTAAACACAACTATAAAAAGGAGGTAGTAGTGAACAGTATATCTTAGTATTATTATCTAGCTTTGACGTTGTCGGCGCGAACGCAGCTGATCGAGTAAACATACAAAGATAAGCGATACTAGATGGTGTATTCGCACATCATATTGGGTTTATTATTTTCCTGTATTATTTCATTTTTGTGTTATCATATCATACGTGTTGTATGTTAGTTTTACAGTGTCATGAATTTGATTTATTTATAGTATTTTCTGTTTTTGCTCTCGATATATTTGCTATTCGTTTTAAGTTGTATGTATGTGCAAATTTTACTTTTATTTTTTTGTTTTTTAATACATGTTCTTTAATACTTTGTTTGAATAATTTGTAGGAGTTTATTTGTTTAACTAATTTTGGTATATTGTTATATATTTTGGCGCCCTCGTGCAAAATATTATTTTTACCATAATTTGTACGCGGTGCATATACTATTAGGTCGTTAGCATTTCTAAGTTTTATTTTTTGAACTTTTTTGTAAACTTAATTTGAGTTAGAATTTCTTTATTTAGTATTTTACGGATTAATATACAGTTATTCGAAATGTATGTTTGTTTAATAGTCATGACTTTTGTGTCTAGCGTACTAGCGGCCCTGTCCCTGGTTCGCACGGGTTCGCACAAAACGACCATGAATTACTAAATTAGAAAAAAAATGTATTTCGCTTCCTAGCTGTTAACGACCTTTGTCTATCACGCTGTGTCAGGAGCCGCTGCGAGCGTTCAGTGTAAGAGTCCCGTGCACGCGTTCGCGAATTCCTAGCTCTATTTCCTTCAAGTCCCTGAGACGAACTTGCATTTTTTTCTGCAAAACGAACCCGAACATTCGACGATAGATTCTCTGGCTTGCGATTGGGACGCGTACAATATAATACATTCCAGATGATCATTTTAGGAAGGAGACTCTCCAATACGACAAACTTTGCTAATCTCGCTTGGGAATTATTCTTAGATAGCTGCAACTTTCTTCTTCTAGGCATATTGCTAAGAAGGATATTTATTTTAAATCAGAGAAATTAAGAATAATAAACTAATAATAATACAAAGCGATAATTCTGAAAAGAACTTTGACAAATATTATGCAAATTGTGATTCCTAATACTAAACTAAGTAGCTTTGAAAATAACTTTTTAAGTGAAGCATAAAAATGTTAGAAAAAAAATCGAAATATTAAATGTCCTTCGCGCCCACTGCGTAAGGCGCCCACTGCCCCTCTACCGTCGAATTAGATACTAAATGCGCGGCGTGGCGGCCACCGCCGGCATGCATTTTTATTTTACCTTCGTGATATCTTTTGAATGGAATGTCCGATTTCAATAATTAAAAAGTAATCATCAGGTATTGAGACAGTCTTAAATATTAAATGATTTATTCGGATATTAATTTATAAATGGTACGGATAACACAGTCTGATTTTGATCGGCATTTCTATCAATTTGTTAAATGTAAAAAAGTAGTTATAGCGACGTAACTACAATAGTTAGACATATGCTCTCGGGATGTTTTTCGTAGATATTAATATATTCTATAATATTGTCAAACATTTTATTGTCCTATCATGAATACTTTTCGCAGCGTATGCGAAGAAAGACATTTTACGGCAAATTTTTTTACGCCTTCCGTTGGTTTTAGTAAGAATTTCTATAGATTTCTATAGTAATAGAGTATTAAATATAGCCTATGTTACTCAGTGATAATGTAGCTTTCTAATAAAAAAAAGAATTATTAAAATCGGTCCAGTACTTTTTGAGTTTACCCGTTACATACAAAAATACAAATCTTTCCTCTTTATAATATTAGTATAGTTCGGTTGGTCTAAGATAGTCATAGTTAAATAGTCTTTTTAATAGTTTGTTTTGTGCAATTTGTAAAGGCTTAAGATTTAACTGCTATTTTTCACACTTCAGTGAGATAATCGATGCGTGGCTTAGCTAAAGAATTATAGATAGTGTAGCGCACGTTTTGCGGGAGACTACTACAAAACTAAACTTTTAAATAATCAGTAAATTGGTTGCTAAAAAATATTAATATTATATTCTATTTTGACAGCCCTACAATTGCGAATACGTATAGCACCGCCCCGTAAAAGGGGCACAGTATTGTATGCTGTAATTATAACAACAATACATTGTTGCTCGAAAAAGTTACGACTCTACCGACTGCTGTAACTGCCGTTTATTTTATATTCCTCTAGGCGACAAACAATGAAAATTATTCTGTGAATATTTCGTCTTGCAACGGTTTTTATTTTATCTTCATACAGAGTATGTTTTTAGCTTGAGGAAAGACCGCAACAAACATGGCC